TCGATAGAAATTTTTCCTGCCCAGTTTGGCAAGTATCTTAAAAACCTGAAGATGAGGAAAGATGACAAAGGAACTCTAAGTTTCAATTTTACTTTGGTTACTGCTGCTGCAGTTTGTCCAGAAAGGTTAACATAAACTCCTGGAACGTTAGGGTCAATCTTCTTATTTTCTCAATAGTTGCATACTGGTCTGTTTGTTCTCTAGCTTGTGGTTGTACTGAGTTTCTCAAAGCGAACCATTCATAGTTTGCCCATGTTACTGTTTGAACTAAGTCAGAGTTGAATATATCTTATATCCCATGAAAACTTCTGGAGCATATTGGTATCCGACATAGAAAATTCCATTGCAACCTTTCTTGTCAGACAACTTGGCAGAAGGTTTTATTTCAATGTCTTGTTCCACGTATAAGAATGAGTTGTCAATAGAAATTATATGAAACCTGTCGCAAGCAATATCTACTGTTGTTGAAGAACCTTCTCCAAACTCACCTACGTTTCCATAAGAAACAGCAGTTGTATATTCGTAAGTTCCAGGAACTATTTCTGACCTTCTAATGGCATTGTCGCATTCGTTTATACCATTCGGAAACATTTCCATTCATAGCATCCAAAACTGTTGGCGTTATATTCTGAGCGGCGTACATTTCATATGAGTAAAAATATAGAATAGTTGGATTTATATGTCATAATAGAACCCACGTGGACCAAGCTTTACTTTCTTCCTGACTGAGTTTTAACTCTTCTTTTTCCTTCATTGCCCTCTGCTTCAAGTTTGTTGCATCTTTGCCTCATGTTCACCTAGTATGTTGTAAATTTCCCATGTCCTTTTTGCCTTTGGGCTCTGGTCGCCCATCTCAGGTAACCTATATCCTAGAAAGATTTTGTCATAGTTTGTATTTGAGTCTTCGCGTATTGTTTGCATGACTCTTTCCTGAGTTCCGTTCAAGCTCTTCAAACAGTGCCTGTCCATATGGAATATGCTCGTTTCCAAATATATGTTTTTGTAGCCATTCTGGTTTTCTTTCCATGTTACCAACTATATCTTTTGTGAATGGGAAAGCTTTTACCCAATCTTTCAGTCTTGCGTCGTTTATTTCTGTAGTTGGTTTATTTTGTCAAGGAACATGTTTTTCAATACTAACATTTCATTTGGTACTGTCCATTTGAGTTTTCTTAAATATTCATCCCTTCTCGATTCATCGTCTGCAAAGTAAGTTTTTATGACATTTTGCAAACTTTCGTTTGCAAGGTCATGTACAATAGGTTCTCTTCCTTCTCTGTCCATAACTTTCTTTCTAAACTCTTCGCCAAATATACCATCTCTATGGTTCTGTGTAGTTCTTTGAGATAAATGTTCTAGAACGTCAGGTGTTATATTTCCATCAGCCATGTTCATTTCATACTGGTTCAAAATATCTGCATGTTTCATATCTTTCAATGGCATTAAAGCCGCGCTGAAAATACCAGCTATATCTGGTTCACCATTGACTTCCATTGCGTCTACAACTTCTTGGAATTGTGGTTGTAAGTTTATGAACCACCTATCCGGATTAGCTTTATGACCCCATCTCATTGTAGTTCCATCGTCTGCAGAAACAAAAGTAGGTTTGTTTCCATCTTGGTTAGGTTCTGAATGAACTTTAAACAATGTTTCATTTCTATATGTTTTCTTGAAATTAACCTTTTATTTTCACCGAGTTCATCCGAAGATTGAACGTTAAATGCTCGTAAGTAAAAAGGTTGTTGTATTTGTGTACATTTTCTTTCAGTACTTTCATTCTATGCTGAATATTTTCATCTGGTGTTGGAGTCTTTTGTATGTCGGCAAACATTTTTCGATATTCTCTACTATGTCAGCCGAATTTTTTTTAGACTCTTGGAAATATTCCATATTCTCCGCATACTCTTGTTGAGGGTCAAGATTTTTCGGCTGTTCCAAATCTTCATCTGGTTCTGTGAAGTTAGTTTCCAAAGGAGGACTTGTTCGTTTCCTTCAGGCTCTTCTAGCTGTTGTTGCTGAACTATTCTTCCATGTCTGGTTGTATCTGAACTTCTTCCTGTGGAGTTTCTTGTACCTCATCTGCTGGCATTTCATATATTCCGAGACCGTTTTCAACAATTTCCCTATCTACGTCATCCGCATTCATAAGCTTTTGTTCTTTCGTTCCGTCTCTATTTTTTACGCGTTTCATGACGAAAGTTGAATTGTCATTTAGCTCTGACATCAAATATCTCGGAGTAAATTCATCCATGTCATTTGGATGATATGCTATTAAATCATATCCCTTAGCGAGCTTGTATTTCCAGGTTTGAGATTATATCCGTTTTGGTGCTGAGCCATAAAGCTAAATAGGTTCGGGTCAGTATTTCCATCCTTGAACTTTCTAATAGCTTCTTTATATCTGTCACTAAAGTCAACAGTATCTGCGAAACCACACTCTTCTTTAAGCATTTTTAAGAATTCTTGGTTTCCTTGTTCTCTACTTCTTTTATGTCCTTGCTCTGTTTGTGGAGGTGGTTGTTGTGCAGGGTTTTGAACTGTTGGTTGTTGTGCTGGGTTTGGTGCTGGTTGTGGAGGTGGTTGTTGTTGTTGTGCTGGTTTTGGTGCATGCCTATGTCTGTGTCCATGTGACGATGTAAATGTTTTAGGTAGTCCTGGTGCAGGTGCTTCTCTTGGAGGGTTTGGTGGTATATAAGTTCCACCAGCTGGCACATATGTTCCATCTGCAGCGTAATGTCCTACCTGACTTTTCGTTCTTAAGAAAGCATTTACTAGGTCTGTTTTGGTCTGTTGTAACTCTTTTTCTTGACTTTTCACAACAGTTGCTCTAACGGCGTCATAGGCACTTTGAACTGCCTGTCTCGTTGCTGCATCTGTTATTTTCGTCATATTTTGTGCTACTTCTCTTAACTCTTTGTCGAAACCTTCAGACTTCAGTTTCTTTCCAGATGAGAAGTCGTTCACTAGTTTCACCTTACTATGAAGAGCTTCGAAGGCGTTCTTAAAGTCAGCATTTGTTAAAGCTTCATTTGAACTATCTTCATCCGCTTGTATTTTTGTCCTTATTGACCCTATGAGTTGGGCTGCTTTAGCGTTGGCTTGGGCATCTAACCAGTCATTGTTAGCTTTTATATATTCTGCGCTTTTCATTGCCTTTTGCATAGCCGCGTCATTTTTACTTTCTTGTGCTAAGTTTTCATACTGTACGGTTTGGTTTTGCAACTGTAAAAGTTTTTCTGCCTTTACATTTGCTTCAACTTCTTTTTTATACTCATCGCTATCCATATATGTCTTCAGGGCTTTTTGTTTTATCTCTTCATCTTTCAGTATTTTATATTGAGTAGTATGGTTTTTCAAATTTATGACATCTTGTTCCATTTTTGCTACTTCTGCTGCTTTTTCTGACACTTTTTTCGCATATTCCTCTGTACTTAGTTCTTTCAGTTGTTCTTCTTTCTTCTTTTTCTCTACGTTTAACTCATTGAGTTTCTTTGTGTGTCTGTCATATTCTAGTTTCTTTTCGTTTTCACTTATTTGCTTCTGTATGTCTATGTTTGACTTTTTGACATCTGTTATTTGATTTTTGAGTGAACTCAAATTCATTTGACTTTGAGGGTTATATGCTGTTCCGTCTGCAGCTCCACCATAGCCTGCCATTTTCGCTAAAAGTGCCGCTCTTAAACCTCCACTCTGTGCACCAACAACTCGGTTTAAAAGCATAGGATTGCTTGACATTTGTTGCAACATAGTGGGTCATTCAGCATTTGTTGTTGCAACTGTTGTTGTGGTGTCAGTTTTACTATTGGATGTTTCAATGCTCTCTTCCTCTTACGTATATTCTTACGTAGCTTACGTGGCATTTTAAGTGAAGTTAAAAAGCGGTTTTTGACAGATGTTTTATTGTGACTTCTTCGTAAAGACTTTGTTGAGATTTCTTCGTAAATGAGTGTAAATGACCCAAAAATATATTTTAGGGTAGAAGGGTATATCTAACCTCTTTTCTAACCTCTTTTCTACCCTCTTGAATTTTCATGAATTTCTTCGTAAATGTTTTGTCAAGACTTCTTCGTAAAGACTTTGTTGAGACTTCTTCGTAAAGACTTTGTTGAGACTTCTTCGTAAATGACCCAAAAATATATTTTAGGGTAGAAGGGTATATCTAACCTCTTTTCTAACCTCTTTTCTACCCTCTTGAATTTCATGAATTTCTTCGTAAAGACTTTGTTAAGACTTCTTCGTAAAGACTTTGTTGAGACTTCTTCGTAAAGACTTTGTTGAGACTTCTTCGTAAAGACTTTGTCAAGACTTCATCGTAAAGACTTTGTTGAGATTTCTTCGTAAATGACCCTAGTAGTATATTTTTGGTGTAAATTTCATGAAAATTCAAGAGGTAGAAAAGAGGTTAGAAAAGAGGTTAGATATACCCTTCTACCCTAAAATATATTTTTGGTGTAAATTTCATGAAAATTCAAGAGGGTAGAAAAGAGGTTAGAAAAGAGGTTAGATATACCCTTCTACCCTAAAATATATTTTTGGTGTAAATTTCATGAAAATTCTGAGTAAAATGACAGATGTTTATATGACACTTTCTCCGGTTTATAGGACCTCTCTCATATTCTAAACATCTTCGGGGCTAGAGGGCACGAAGTGCCTGGAAGCCCCACTACCTTTTTTTTTTTTTTTTTTTTTTTTTTTTTTTACAATGTGTTTTCTCAGAGTATCACTCTATATAGATAAAGATATATTTATTACATAACAATAAGAAAAAAATAAAACTAATATTCTTTGTTGCTTCTCTCTGTTGCCAATTTAAACAGTTTAACAGCAATTCCCTCATTTTTCTTTGTCTTATCACCAAATATCAAACAAAGCTGAAGGAAATCCTTATCAATAAAAACAATATATGTTAAATTTATACTATATTATAGTTAAATAGGTCAAGAAATATATATCACTATGGGATATATTCTAAAATAAATACTAAATTAAAAATTATTTTTTTAGTATTTGAAATAATCCAATAATATTTCGTCAGTGCGAGTTCTTTTTTCTGCAGGTTCAATTGCGATCAATTCGTGGCTTAGATCCTCATTTATATTGAGAACTTTTGCTTTAGACTGAGTTCCGTAGTATAATGGAGCAGACCAGAGGCTGAGCAATTTAGAATCAAAGTAGAACCTATATCCTAAATCCTGTGTTTGATGAGCTCTCAAAATTAAATTAAATTTATTATTATTTAAAAATTCTAAAACAGCTGTTTTGCCCATAATATGTCCAGCACCTCTGCTATTCTCAATAAACTTCTGAGAAATGAAATCTGGATCTGACCACGTAATATCAGTGAGAGTTTTGTTTTGATCAATATCTTGATATCTGTATACATCATTGATCTTTTCAATAGTTTCGGATGTTGGTCCTAAACCGCCGTGAACACAAAATATTTTATTTCCAATTATTGCAGCGATAGGTAATGAAAGGAATACTTCATTCATTCGTAAATAAAGTGAATTGCTTCTGTAAATTTGTTTGCAATCTTCAAATAATCCATAAGTAGAATTTACACCTGAATCTTCATGATTTCCACGAATTAAATAGTAATTATTGGGTTGTAAGATTTTCTTTGCTGCTAGATATATAAATAACTCGACAGAATATGGTCCTCTATCTACGTAATCGCCTAAAAATAAAAATTTTGACGATTCTTTGCAAATTTCGAAGATTTTAAGCATATCAAAAAGTTGTCCATGCATGTCAGCAATTGCTAATACTGGTGGTGCAATATCAATTATATTTTGTTCATCTGAAAAAATCTTTTCAACTGAGTCTAAAATAGAAAAGCAGTCTTCAAGATCTAAATGTAATCCTTTTGATGCGTTTTCAATGACTCGATTAGCAACCTCTTCGATTGCAGTCATAAATTGGAAGAAATAAAAATTTAGTTGGAAAAATTAAAAAAAAATCAATATGATTTTATTATTAGAAAAAAAGCTCGGTCACCGGGAATCGAACCCGGATCAAAAGAACGACAATCTTACATGATAACCATTACACTATGACCGATTCTTGAATTTTTTCTTTTAAAATAATTTATTATCTTTACATAATTTCTCATTTGGGCCCTTTCTCATTCATTTGGAAATCCTGAAAATTTGAAGGGGAAAGAATTGAATATATGTGCTATGATCGATTTCGGAATCCATATACGTTTAAAAAAAAATAATCTGTTGTTCGAATCATGGAGACCATTGACTACATGGAGACTATGAAGTTATTCAAAGATTATAATGACACCTTTCGTTCTATATTTAGACTTAATACCTCCAATGAAGACGAAATCAACAAAATTTACATTAATATCAAAAGTAATTTGTTTGAGAAAACGTACATTACGCCATCTTTGATTCTAGGGATAATCCAAAATGCAGCAAATTACAATTTTCGTTTCTTTAGATCATACTGGACTTTATTCAAAAAGATCTACGACGAGTATCACCCTACAAAAATTGAAGACTGTTCGTGGGTTTTTTGTTACATTTTTTATAAGGAATATGGTCTCCTTTTAGATAAAGAGCATGATTTTGATATCGAAGATCCTGAAATGATTGAATCATTAAAAGCTCATGAAGAAAACACCATCTACAAGGCAATTATTGATGATGATTTAAATTCGTTTATTGTTTTCACAGAGAAAGAAGGTTTTGATGAAAATCAATTAATGTATAGCTATATTTATCCTGATTTTGAATTAACTTTACTTGATTTGTGTTGTTATTATGGATCAGTTAACTGTTTTAAATTAATGAGATCGAAATTCAACTCAGAAATCACTGAAAATTGCCTTCACTATTCGTTTTTAAGCGGAAAACCAGAGATCATGAATGAATGTTTGAAATTTCAAACACCAGATGATGAGTGTATGGATTATGTGATTACTTCATATAATATTGATTTTGTTACTTTTATAATGGAAAATTATAACATAGAAATTGATCCTTTTCATTGCGAGAATGTCTTCAATCTTCAAGCATATTTTCTTCATTTTTTCCATACTAATGATTTGCCAACTTGCTTTACACATTCACCATTCTTTTATAACAAGTCTCTTTGTGAATTTTTGTTATCACATGGTGCGGATGTTAACCAGGAAGGTGTTGATGGAAGATTCGTTCTCGATTATGCTTGTTTGAAGAATATTAAAGAGCTTGCAGAATTTTTTATTAATAATGGTTCTCTTCTTTATCCAAGTGATTTCGATGGGCTGACAAGTCTACATTTCGCAGCAATGGGAGATAGTAAAGAAACAGCAGAAATGCTACTTTTACATGGTGCGGAAATCGACCCATATGATCATGAAAATAAAACACCTCTTTGTTATGCAATACATGACTATAATTTTGAAACAGCCAAATTTCTTATCTTGCAAGGTGCAGATGTAAATGCAGAAGAAATCATTCATATAGCAGCAGTAGCAGGTTCTGTGGAAATTATTGAACTTCTAATCTCCCATGGAGCTGATGTCAATGCTAAAGATTACCTCGGAAAAATTCCTCTTCATTATGCTGCTCAAGGTAATTCTACAGAACTACTTGAAACACTAATTTCAAATGGTTCTGATATCAATGCTAAAGATGATGATGGAAGAACGCCTCTTCATGATGCTATACCAAGTATGCATCCGCATATAATTGATTTTCTTATTTCTCATGGTGCTGACATTAATGCTGTAGATAACTTTAATAGAACTGCATTACAAATTGCAGAAAATACCGATAATGAAGAAATAATTCAGTTAATCAATCGTTACATTAATCAAAAGTAGATGTATTGAACTATGTCCAACATTTTGTTTGCGATAATAAACACTTCAAGATACGCTATTGTAGAGGAAAAGCATGATCTTTCTATATCTTGTTTCGAATAAATTTTAAAATTATAAGTATCAATATTAAATTAAGTTATTGCTTTCTCTATAATTGAATTAGTAAAAAGCATCGAAATTATCCATAAACATTAACTTTCGACTCAAGTTATAAATGATTATTTGAAAAAGTCCCATTTTCACAGTGAATACTTATGTTATCCAGAAAAATTTCATATACAATTTATGTAGATAGAATTGTAATTGAAAGAAATAAAGTATGTGGACAATTCAAATGAGATAGTAAATTTTTATATTTTATTTTAAAAAACATGGTATAATATAATACTGCATAAGATTTGAGCATCGTAGGACGTTGAAATTAGTAAACTTATGCGGTTTGATAAATTTTGATGGAAATTAAGTAAAAGAAACTAGCTGAAGACAATTAAGTCATCAACTGCTTTATGAGAACTAGATGGAGATAAGTTTCCGTTCATTAAATCTCTTTGTTGTTTAAAATGAAGTTCTTCAAGTGCAGTAATTTCGGCTCGTTGGTGTTGAAGTAGAGCCTGGTATTCAGGATCGCTGAAAACTTCCTCATCAAAACTGTCTGAAAGATCTGTAGAAGCATGACCTGAAGATGTGTTTAAATCTCCGTATGATTCACCTAATACTTGCTCAAGTTGACTTTTAATTGATTCGCGAACACTCAATTCTTCTTCGTGATTCAAACCTAATGCATCAACTAATTCGGCACAAATTGAATCAATACTATCCTGATTGGGGTCAAATGGAAAGCCTATTTTTATGTCTTCACTATCTCTATGAATAATCAAATTTATATCGACATGATTGACGAAATCGGACATTTTTATTTTTTGATAATTGTAAAAATTGAGAAGTTTACCATTGTTTTACGACCAGATTTATCTCAAAAAATTTACGTTAAAAAATTGCGAAATTTTTCGGTATTCACACTATTCATGAAATTGTAACATCTTGCGATAAGGATGTCAATTTGGAAGAAAAGTGAGAAAATTCCTAAAATGCTAAAAATGAATTTTCCAAACGTACTTTTTTATCTCATTTTTTTGATTTTGAAAAAAATTTGGAGAGAAGAACTCTTCGTTTTTGAATTTTGTCACGATGGTTTTAAAGTATATTAGACACATGTATTGATATTACTATTTTTGTATATTTTGAGAGAAAATCCCTAAAAAGTGAGAAAATCTGAGACGGTTTGAGAAAATATATAAACTATTGAAAATTTGAATTAAACTTCTCATTTGGAAAAAAGAAATTTGGAAAGAAGAAAATTCAAAAATGGAGATTTAGACTCAGTATCAAATGGAGAACAAAATGTTTCTTCATATGAAGGAAAAAAATTTTCTTGAGAAGAAATAGAGTTTTTAAAATTTTATTGTATGTAATAAAATAAACAAATATTAAAATTATTTTTTGATAACAAGAAAATTCCCAACAGAAAATATTTGAGACAAAGAAAAAAAGAAAATTGAAAAATATTACTCTCCTTTACATTTCTTGAGATTTTCAATTTATTTTTATAAAATTGACAATTTTAAACATTAAGTGATTTTGCTTGAAATAAAAATTATTGTTTGTTTACAGCTATCAAATAGATTTTTGCTATTTTGATTAAAATTTGTTAATCAAATTAATAATTTTTTAGTAGTATATGAGTGCGGGTTGTGTGACTTTTTTTGTTACATCTATATATAGACGATACATTAAAATATAAATCATAGTATTATATGTGGAAGTGTTGTGTACGTAGTATATGTGGAAGGATTGTGTACCTTTTTTTGTTACATCTATATATAGACGATGCATTAAAATATAAATCATTAAAAAATTAACATTAATTTTAAAATAATTTATTTTTTTATCTTTTATAAAAGAATCTATATATAGATGATGTCAGATATTCCGCGATTAATTAAACATTGTTTAAATCCTGAATGGGTTAAACTTCAATTTAAAAATGAAGATTGTGAATTATTAAATGAATATGAAAGCCAAAATAAGCTAATGAGGTATAAATATAATGATAAAGAATATTTAATTTCATGGAATCAATGGAGTCATAATCAAAGACCTCATAAACGAGAAGAAGAAATTGAAAATAATTATTTTCATGAATGAAAGATTCACTACCATAATGAAATAAAAAATAAAAAAATTTGATGAGTTCAACATTGAACTTTAAGAAACTAATGATTATTTGAATTTATGAAATCAATTATTTGATTCATTCTTTCTTCAATAATTTCTATTCTTTTTGTTAAATCATCTATTTTCATTAATGAGGTGATTCTTGATTGAGGAATAGATTTTAAACTAACCACTCCTTTTATTTTTGAAATTTTGAATCCATGACCCTCTGGGTCTTGGACTCTGTCCTCAACTTTAAACATTTTATTCAATTTACACGTTGTCAATTCTTCAAATAATTTTTTATTATTAGCATAATAGTCATTAAATTCATCAACAGATGAAAAAATTTTTATTTCAGTAATTGGTTTAACAACGTTTATTTTTTGTTGAACATTTTCACTTTCATTTATTTCTTCCTCCTTTGTTTCATTTATTTTTAAAATCGGTTTCATTTATCATTAAATAAAAATTAGAATATAAGTGATGAAATATATTTTTTAATTAATATTAAATCAGAAATGGCGGCAGGATTCTTTAAAAAATTATGGGATGGAATTAAGAAAGCTGCAGGTTGGGTTTATAAAAAGGTTATTAAACCTGTTGCAAACTTTTTGGCACCAGTAGCGAAAACGGCAGGAACTATCATAGGTGGAGTATTAGGTACTAAAGCAGGTAATCCGGCGATGGGAGCACAAACAGGTAACGCAATTGGTGGAATTGCTGAAGGAATACTTAATAAAATAGGAGGTAGATAGTGGAAAAATAAATAAATATTATTTTTATCTCAATATCGGTTGTAGTCGACGATAAACTTTATCTCCTTTATTTAAAATTTCTCTTATTGGGGCAGCTTTTGGCGTTATTGATTCAGCAACGTCACTAATTGCTTCTTTATTCTTAAATATCCAATTTGCTCCTTTCTTAATCCCTTCCCAAACTTTATGCGCTCCTCTTTTTACTTTATCCCACAGTTTCTTAAAGAATCCTGCAGCCATAGTTGATTATTTCATTAAAATTAAAAATTCATTTTCATCTTTTAATTTTGATTTTTTATTTAATAATAAATGACGACTAACTATTTGGTGCCAAACACTAAACCGATTAATGGAAATGTGTTTCATTCATTCGAAAAGATAAATGAAATATTCGCAAAGAATGACGGTAGAAGATATTATAGAGAACTTGAAAGTTCATGCTATGACTCTGATGCTCCATATTTTGATGATAAACAAACTCATTTAAGAATTACAAATCCGGCTCATGATGTGAACCAATTAGGTGACACATATATTAAACGCAAAGTTAAAGCAACTCTAGTTTCAAATAAAGCTTTCACATGTGATGCCGCTTTTAAATGCATGCGTTTATTCGTTGGTTATAAATCATCAAATCAAAGCTTTAAGCAATTAGAAGTAGAAACCGAAAGAGGTGATGCCGGTTATCTTCAGATGGATTGCGCCCGTGAATCTTTCGCATTTGCAACATATAAACCAAAATCAGAAAGGAAAGTTAAAAAGTTTGTTCATTCATTATATAACAATGTCCAAAAATATGATAACTCAGTATGTGGTAAATATATTGACCCTTCAGAAGTTTTCAAGAAAGCAAATGAAGAAGTTGATGTCACTTTTGATATGATTATTCCGGTAAATGATTTGTTAGCATTTCAGGCGTTCGATGATTATCCTAAATCATTTGGTGAAATCATTCTTAAATATTATGTTTTCAGGGATACTTTAGTATTTTGTCAGGTTGACCCGTTAAGAGTTGCTGATTTACAAAATTACGTTTATGAAAAGATAACTGATGAAAATTATGAAAAGATTATGAATCATGTTTATAAATATGATCGCAAATTCCAACAAATCGGACTTCCTGCAAAATTAATTACAAGCTTAGCCGCTACATCTGCTGACGCAACAGTTGAAGACGTTATTATTTCATGCACAAAGATGGAAGTTTTAGAGGATAAATGCATTACACCAGGATACGGTTTAATTGAAGAATCAGTTAAAGCAATACCACGTTTATTTAGTAAGGAAGATCCATTCATGATTCCAGCTCAACATATTGACGTTCGTTCACTAAATGGAGGTTGCATCACTCCTGAAGGTATCAGTTCAGATTTCTCATACGCTCTTCATAATGTTACAGATGTTGTGTTAACATTTCCGAAGAATGCAATGCAAAGAACGGTTTTAGAAAATCCAATGCTTCGAGGTCTTCAGGTCACTATAGATTCCAGAAACTTCCCCGATCAAGCGATGACCACAGTGGGCGACATATTCTTTACACGTATGCTTCAAGCTTCTGATTTAGATGGAGTGAATGAATGCACAGAAGAATACGAGGACTCATTAACTAGACCACTGAATGATGATGAGCACACCATTAGCTAGAACATGGAAAGACCAAACTTCATTCTTATGCACTATTCCAGTTCAACGTGATGGAGCGGGTATATTCTTTGATGGATTAGAAACTTTCAACTCACAAGTTACAGTACAAGTGAAAGCTTATCCAATCATTCAGGGTGAAAATGACACTTACTGTTCAAAAGTGACAAATCCTCCTCAGGTTTGGTTTACTAGGACTACATATTGGACATGGACACCGGATGAAGGTTTGAAATATCATCCAACAGGTACACCACCGCAGTATAGAAGTTCATATGATGAAATATTGATGAATAGAAATGTTTAAAATTATAAATTTATTTTTGATTAAATGGATTTAAATTCATCCACCCCTTATGAAGAATTAGCAGGAGTATATAATACATACGTAGATGATATGATTAATGAAGCATTGAGTGATAATAGAAATGCTCTATCTAAGGAAAAATTAATGAAAATTCCATATTCTGAATGTTACTTAAATTCAATCACTGCAGCAATTGGTAAACAAAATAAAGGTAAAACATTAACGATATTAAAACAAATTATCATTATTGCTAACACTTCACCCTATTCACATGTGTTAATTTATATCAACCGTTCAGGTTCACCTTCAGATGATACATTTGAATCTTTAAAGCATTTAATCAAAATTCCAATTATTTATTTATCACAAGAAGAAGCAGAAGATTATTTAAAAAACTTTGTAATGTATAAAGAATTATATAATACAATCAAGAAGCAAGGATTAGAGGATAAAATTATTGATAAACAACGGGATGAATTATTTGAAACACTTTCTATTTCAAATTTTGATAGAGAATTTTTACATTCACTCATTTTTCTAGATGATGCAGTGAAATCAAAACTAATAACAAATGAGAAATCATATTTTAATCAATTATTAACTCAATGTCGACACATTCAGTGTTCATTCTTCATGGCTGTTCAATACTTTAAAGCATTAAGCACAAACATTAAATCAAACCTGTCCACCCTTTTCATTTTCAGTGGTTTTAGTCGTCAACAGTTGAATGTTATGCTTTATCAAGTGAATTTACCAATGAGCATTAATGAACTTTACACACAATATCAACAATTAGGAGAACATGGAAAAATAATAGTTGATTTAAATAAAGGTTCCATTAAATTCGAATAACTTTTTATAATTAATTTTTATTTTTTATTTATAATTAAACATGACAGAAATAGCAAATCTTCTACAGGTTCCATTAAAACAAGGAACAAACAAAAAGGGTGCATATAATAGAACTATGAAAGTTCCAGACGGAATGAAA